GCCTAGAATCCATTTTGAGTTAGTTTTTGCATATTGTGCAGTGTATGGGTTAAGGAGTTTTTGTTTGTTCCCTTTTTTTTTTTTTGTTTTTTCCCTTCTCTTTCTTTTTTGCTTTGGATATCCAGTGGTTCTATCATACATAGATTCTTGTGCGAGGGAAAGTAGCCCCAGAGACGTTTGGGGCTTCTATAAAGTCCTCTTATCCAATATATAAACTCCTCTTCTGCATGGTTTTTAGTTAATATTTTATATAGTTGGCTAAAAATGTAAGGCCTTATTAAGGCATAAAAAAATAGGCCACTGGAGTTTCTTAGTGAAATTAAAATGATACCTGGGTCTTTTTTCTCCATCCTCCACTAGTTTACTCTTTAACCTTCAGTTTGGTAGGGGTTATGGCTATTTTTAGAGTACAGGCAGGAGAGCTAATCTAATTAAACTCCTCCAGCTACCTGGGGCAGTGAACTCATCAGCTTTTCTAAGCCCAGCATGGTTTGCTCTGGACTGGACGTAGGTGGATATTGATAAAAGTAGAAACAGTGGATTTGGGGGGTGGGGTATGTAATGCATGGAAGAATGAAGAAGAGTCAGACTGGTGATGCACACCTGTAACCCCACCTACTGGGGGCGGGGCTGAGATGGGAGAACTGCAATTTCAAGGAAAATCTGGGCATTTTAGTGAAACCTTGTCTCAAAATAAAAGAGGATTCAGGGTATAGCTCAATGGTAGCATACCCTTGAGTTCAATCCCCAGTACTGGGGGAGGGGGGGCGTGAAGTAGTGTGAGTTTGAGTCAAATGTCCCAAACTTCAGATTATAAGGTTGTATTTGTTGGTGAGTGCAAAAAATTCTAGAGTGGCTCCTATACTTGAGCCTAGGGCACAGACACAGTATCTCTGCCTGCTTTAATTTTGATAGCATTTTAAATAGCTCATAACAAACTACTTTAGACTGGTGCCTTAAACAACAGAAATTCATTTTTTCAGTTCTGAAGGCTCCAAATCAAAAGATTGAAGTGCCAACATGATTGGTATCTGCTGAAGGCTTTCTTCCTCTCTTGTACATGTAAACCTTATCTCTGTGTCCTAACATGGCAGTGGGGAGACAGAACTCTCTGGTGTCTCTTATAAAGACATCTTGTTGTGTGGGCCTCAGCTGTGACTTCATCTAAACCTAATTATAGGGCTGGGGATATGGCTCAAGCGGTAGCGCGCTTGCCTGTTATGCGTGCGGCCCGGGTTCGATCCTCAGCACCACATACAAACAAAGATGTTGTGTCTGCCGAAAACTAAAAAAAAAATATATAAAAAAAAAATAAAATTAAAAAAAAAATAAAAATAAACCTAATTATATTCCATAGTCTCCTTATCTAAATACTACCATGTTGGGAGTTATTCCTTCCACATATGAATGGGGGGGGGGATAGATAGAACTCAATTGTAGTTACTGTACTTTCTGCACTAGAGTTGAACTGGTTTTTTCATTTTGATAGATTACAGTGTCTCTAAATTGCTGAGGCTGGCCTTGAAATCACAGTCCTCCTTTCTCAACCTCCCCAGCCTGTAGGATTACAGGCATGTGCCATCACATGCGGCTTTTGATTAAAATTCATATTCTAAGAATAACAACTCATTCCAATAGTGGTTGTGTTTTATTATTGTCATCATATCTTGACTTTCTAGAGAAGTGGTCCCATGAAATTGGAATTAATGCACTTAAGAGGTGAAAGATGACCCAGTGATATACAGGAAAAGAATGTTGAAATATCTATTAGGTATTTATCCTAGAAAAGTTATCTGAATATTTAGTGAGAATTGACAGTATATCAACACATATTGGGCGTTTATGCTCAAATTTTTCACTGAGAGAGATTCATGAAGTTTGGAGACCACTGCTCCAGAGTACCCTTTTGCAGAAGTTATAAAATTCGACTTATCTATACCATCTCTGGAATTACTATAGGTAGAGTGTCCCTTATATGAAATGCTTGAGACCAGAAGTGTTTCACATTTCAGAGTTTTTCAAATTTTGGAATATTTGTATAGATTTTACTGGTTGAGCATCTCTAATAGGATGAAAATCTGAAGTGCTCTGAAATCTGAAACTTTTTGATTATAATGTCAGAGCTCAAAAAATATTAGATTTTGGACACCCACCCCCCCCGGGATTGAACCCAGGAACGCTTAACCACTGAGCCACGTTACCAGTCCTTTTTTTTTTTTAATAGCTAGAGAAAATAAAGTTCAAAGAAGGTTCAATACCTCATGTGAGGGCATGAAGTATGCTAAATGGCTTGGCTCACATACTGAAATCCTGGACTTCTGGTTTTTTAGTCTAGGAATGATTTTACTAAACTCTGGCTTCTGTCTGTTAACTCAGTGATTAAACAGGGTTGACCTAAGTTTCTTTTTTTTTTTCCCTTGGATACTGAGAATTGAACTCAGGCGCACTCAACCCCTGATTCACATCCCCAGCCCTATTTTGCATTTTATTTACAGACAGGGTCCCACTGAGTTACTTACTGCCTCTCTAAGTTGCTGAGGCTGGCTTTGAAAGCTATCCTTGAGTCAGCCTCCCCAGCTGCTGGGATTACAGGCGTGTGCCACTGCACCCAGCTTGACCTAAGTATTCACAGGGTTTTTGCTTTTTGAATTTAGCAATAAATTCTAACAGCTATTTTCCTCTAAGAGAAGATTTGTTTTTGAAAGAACCTTAAGCCAGGTCCCACCAAAACTACTCCATAACCTCTTGGTATAAGTTGAACTTCCTGGCTCCCTCTTTCCCACATCTCAGAGCTGGGTATGAATATAGTCTCTGGCTGTTCCTGACCATGGAGTTGGAAAAGCAAATATGTGTTTTAGAGCAGATATGACTCTATATAAAGTTCAGGCAGTTTGGACTATTGTAGAAGTTGATTAGTTTTGAGAAAGATTCTCTGGAGCTGTCTTTCTAGATTCTTATCTGGGAGTGGATAATAGTAGGGTGAGAAGTATGATACGGTAAGCAGTTTTAATTCCAGGGTAGAAAAATATCATATCATATCCATTCCCAGTTGACCACAAGACTGTATTGCTCATACCTTTAGTTTTTAATCTTCGTAAAGTAGTACAGTTATTTTCCCCATGTCATAGGACTTTTGCAATTAATATAATCAGTTTTACACCAGTTATGGGGGAGAAGATACTGCTAAGATGCTAAAGAATATAAACAGAGACTATTGAGAAGGAAAAGCAAGTGCTGTGTTAGGAATGCCATACAGAAATATACACTTCAAAGTTAGAGGAGAAAAACAGCCTGCTTACAAATGGCTCTTCACTGTTTTCTTTATGTGGCTTCACATGTTCTTTTAGTTGGCATTGTCTTTTACCATCTCCCACCCAGGTGTCTTTTCCTTATATTTAACTTCAGCCCTGTTCTTGCAGTATTCCTACTCCCCAACCCTGCCCTACAGTGAGCAGTCTTTGTGCAGCTGTCTCTTGGCAGAGGATACTTTTTATGAAGCAGCATGGGTTTCTGTAGAGGAGAGTAGGGCATAAAGATAAGGATGGGAGCCGGGCACAGAGGCGCACCCTGTAATCCCAGCAGCTTGGAAGGCTGAGACAGGAGAATCATGAGTTCAAAGCCAAATCTCTTCAACTTCAAGGCACTAAGCAACTCCATGAGACCCTGTCTCTAAATAAAATATAAAATAGGGCTGGAGTTGTGGCACAGTGGTCAAGTACCCCTGGGTTTAATTCTTGGTATCAAAAAAAAAAAAAAAAAAAAAAGATAATTGTTATGGGAATGAAAGGGCTGTTGAAAGATTAGAGGCCAGTGTGCCTGGGCCCAAGGACTGGGGTCATAATCATACTTTGTCTTTTACCAGTGCCTTTTGTCCAAGGCCCTGAAAGGGCTTAACAAAATTCTGGTCTGAATAACATTATTCTTTACTCTTTGAAATTTGCTAGAGGTGGCAGTAAGGCCCTGGGGTGCGGGTGGGAATGATCGTGCTATAGTGGCAAAAGGAAATAAGCTAGATAGCCTGGTTCCTAGTTAGAATTTTGCCAGAATGACAAGTCTGATGAAAGTTGTTGGTATTAGGTGAAAGTTTGCCATTGTTTAAAATGAACTGAGGTGGTTTAATGGAAATGCCCTTTTCTTTCCCACCTTTGTACATGGTGACTGTTAGTCCTAAAAGGGGGAAAATTTTAAGAGATTTTTCTTAGGAGTCTTAAGTGCTCTTGAGTTCAAGAATTAGAAGATGGGGCTGGGGATGTGGCTCAAGCGGTAGTGCCCTCGCCTGGCATGCGTGCAGCCCGGGTTTGATCCTCAGCACCACATACAAACAAAGATGTGTGTCCGCCGAAAACTAAGAAATAATAATAAAAAAAAAAAAAAAGTTACTTTAAAAAAAAAAAGAATAAGAAGCTGTGAATATCTATGTTTGTACTAAGCTTGAAACTAGGAGTCTTGAGTGAACATAAAGCCCAAGTTCAGTAATTAACAAGAGCTTGATTTATACTGTTTATTTCTGTATAAAATGATATTCAGAATCTGACTCACCTTTTCATGTTATGAAAATAAGAGTTTTACAGAGTTTGTGGATACATATGAATATTGCTTAAAACAGAATACCCTTGTCTACAGGAAAGTGCTGAAGCTAGCTTTCTGTGTTGAGTTGAGGCTCTTTGCCTGCAGTACCCTGTCATTTGATTTGTGCCTGCTGTTTCAGGTTTTCGGTTCTTTCTTACCCATCTGAAAAAAAACTGCCAGTTATTCAGTGAATAAGGTAAAGAGATGGCAGTTGACTTCCCCAAATTTGTTCCTTTTTGGAGTAGACACAGGGGGAAAAAATCCTGACATGCTTTTCTGTAGCTGAGAAGCCCTGTTAAGCACACATAACAAAAATCATTTTTATAAAACTGACAAAGTCTATACATTGTTAAATTTCTTTGCCCCTTTTGTAGTCTTTCTGAGGTTAATTGTTTTCTAATTGTTTCATTTTCTTCCTCTCCCAAATCCAGGCTGGCTATAGCAAACATCATTCAAGATGTCCAGCAAAGGAAGCAGCACAGATGGCAAAACAGACTTAGCTAATGGTAAGGGGCCAAAATGAAGGTGAAGCTATTTTTACTATGAACTGAGGTCCTCCTCCCTGCAAGACATGGGAGGATTTTTGTGGGGGAAGAAACCCTTCTTGGGTTGTTTTCAGTATAGGGAAACATATTATCTGGTACTTTTTTTCCTTCAAATTTTTGTTTACAGAAAATCAATAACATGTCAAGAGGTTTAGAATTCTGAAAGGCTGTACAGGTAGGCTGAACCTAGGAAATGCTATTAATGAAGGAGAAAAACAAGAGACCTAATTGATGATGGGAACAGGGGGATTTTGGGGAAAGATGAGGTTCTCCAGTTATATTGAGAGGTCTCTTTCCATGGTAAATAAGAGTTTCTTCATTAGAGGTATTAGATAAGAGATGAAGTTACCAGGCTGGGGATATAGCTCAATGATAAAGTGCATGCTTAGCATGTGTAAAGCCCTGAGTTCAGTACCTGGTGCCAAAATAAAATTAAAAAATGAAGTTACAACCCTAACCAATGAGGATTGGGCCTGCCTTCCTTTTTTTCCCTCCCCTCCTTTTTCACTAGGATTAGTTGAAAGGCACAGAGTTCCAGAGGGATTTAAGTTAAACTATTGATTTGGAGCTTGGTCATTAGTTTAGATCAGGGATTGGCAAATTATAACCTACAAGCCAAAGCCACTCTGCCACTTATTTTTGTAAAAGTTTTATATCCATTCATTTATGTGGTGTCCATGGATTGTTTTTGTTCTAATGGGGTTGAATAGCTGCGAGAGTGCCATACGATCTGCAGATACTAACATTTTTGCTGTCTGGCCCATTACAGAAGAAATTTGCCAACTACTGAACTAGATCATGATCATTGACAGTTGTGGCCTTGTTGCTGAGTGTGTAATACATTCTGGCCCTTGTATTAATGTGGTAGGACTTTCAGAGTCTGAATTTGTTAATATTAATAATTTCTAAGAGTTTTGGTGTTTTATTTTTCCTCTGCCCACATATTTGTTAGGTGTGGTGTTTTTAATCCCTTCTTAGCACTTCCCAGCTCAAGCTCCAATTGCATTTCAAACTATATCTCTTTAACTTTTGAAGGATTGGAGGGCAGTGGGAATTGAACCCAGGGGTTCTTTACCACTGAGGCACATGCCCAGCCCTTTTAATTTTTTTATTTTGAGACAGGGTCTTGCTCAGTTGTTTAGGGCCTTGCTGAGTTGCTGGAGCATATGTAACAGTCTCAGCAAATGTGGTTCTGTTACTTTTCCCTTTTCGCTCCAACTCCTATCCCAGTTGATTTTCACACTGTGCTCTCAGTTGAGGTGCTTCTATGTCACCCATCCTTCCATCAAAACAAAGCATTTGTATTGTTATGTGTTTTATGTACTGGATTTTGTCTAGAAGTTCCATTTCTTCAAGGGTCTTCACAAATTACTGCCCTAAGCCAGATGGCTAGTCAGTAAGGTGCTCCAGTTTTAAATCCCTAAACATCAATATTGGAATATTAAACATCATATTGGAGTCAAAGGCTGATCTGTCTTCCCCTAACAAGTTTTAGGTCTGGCAAGATAAAATTTGTAGTCATCTGAGGAAATATTTCTTTTTTAGTTGTAGTTGGATACAATACCTTTATTTTATTCATTTATTTTTATGTGGTGCTGAGGATCAAACCCAGGGCCTTGCACGTGCTAGGCAAGCGCTCTACTGCTGAGCCATACTCCCAACCCTCTCAACAACTTTTTTTTGTTTCAGGGGTACTGGGAATTAAACCCAGGGCCTCATGCATGTTAAGCAAACACTCTGCCACGGAGCTACATCCCTAGCCCTTTTTAAAGACATGTCTTACTAAGTTACCCAGACTAGCCTCCAATTTGGAATTCTTCTGCCTCCGTCTCCTAAGTCCCTAGGATTACAGGTGTGTGCCACTGTACCCAGTTGGAGATTTTCTTATAGACATTCTAATTATTTGCTGCAACTAATGGATGTCTATCCAACAGGACAGAGCCTAAGTGGTTGCATCAGGCACACTTTTGTATAATATGCCAATGCTTAGCCTCTCAAGAACTTATTATAGATTGTCCTGTAGTTCTTTGCTTTTATTGAAGTTCATTTATGTGTGTGTTGCTTTGATCTTAATTTTTTCAATTTCTGTTCTTTATAAGATTTCCTTTCAGAAGTACTCTTTATAAGCATTTATAATGGAAACACTTTGACTGAAGTTTGTTTCTTAGTCTTTTGATGTAATGGTTTCTTACAGTGGGAAATCCCTCTGATAACTAACTATGCTAATCCTGTTTCCTTATTTTTGCCTCTCACCTATTGATTCTTCATCAATGTGCAGGAAGCCTGTCTAGCAGTCCAGAGGAGATGTCTGGAGCTGAAGAGGGAAGAGAGACATCCTCAGGCATTGAAGTAGAGGCCTCAGACCTGAGTTTAAGCTTGACTGGGGATGATGGTGGCCCCAATCGCACCAGTACAGAAAGTCGAGGCACAGACACAGAAAGCTCAGGTGAAGAAAAGGACTCTGACAGCATGGAGGACACTGGCCATTACTCCATCAATGATGAAAACCGAGTTCGTGACCGCTCAGAGGAAGAGGAAGAGGAAGAAGAGGAGGAAGAACAACAACCTCGGCGCCGTGTACAACGCAAGCGAGCTAACCGTGACCAGGACTCATCAGACGATGAGCGGGCCTTGGAGGATTGGGTGTCCTCAGAGACAACAGCCCTGCCCCGACCTCGATGGCAGGCCCTCCCTGCCCTTCGGGAACGGGAGCTGGGTTCAAGTGCCCGCTTTGTGTATGAAGCCTGTGGGGCAAGAGTCTTTGTACAGAGGTTCCGCCTGCAGCATGGGCTTGAGGGCCATACTGGTTGTGTCAATACCCTGCACTTTAACCAGCGCGGCACCTGGCTGGCCAGTGGCAGCGATGACCTGAAGGTGGTAGTGTGGGATTGGGTACGGCGGCAGCCAGTACTGGACTTCGAGAGTGGCCACAAAAGTAATGTCTTTCAGGTGAGGCAAGGATTCATAATAGCAACTGAGAGAATCAGACATGAATCAGACAAATCTGAGTTGCTGCTTAGAGTGGAAGCTGAAAGTGAGTTTTGGTAGGAATTAGACATCAGGACTCTACATTGGTTCCCTTAATGACACTGAAGGCCCATGGTAACTTTTTATTTCCTTGCATGTAAGCATCAGAAGCTTCATTATAGGTTCTTGGAACTTATCAGGAAAATATTATAGATGCTATGGTAGAAGGTAATATAGTATTAATAGCATAGGCTCTTGAACCAAACTGCCTAGATTCAAATTCTGGCCCTAACATGTAATAACTATGTGAAGCTGAGCAAGTTATTTAACTTGTAAGATGGAACTGAGAGGAGAAAGAATTATGAGGATTAAATAACAGTTGATAGGCTAGGAGTGTAGTTTGGTGGTAGAGTTCTTGGCTAGAATGTGTGAGGCTCTGGGTTCTAGCCCCAGCACTACAAAAAAAAGTAGCAAAAACAATGGAAGCTAAGCACTTAGAACCATGGCTGATACTTAATAACATTTGCTAGAAACTAGCTAAGATTGTTATTATTCCTTGGAGATTTTACTCCTTTGCCCCGTCCTCCATATTAATATTAGCTCTTCATCCATAAATTTGTTCTTTTTCTTTTTCCCTGTATTTCATAATTTCCTTTTCCTTTGTGGCAAAATTCGTTTGCTTTCTGAATATTTCTTACTTTCTCTCCTATTAGGTACATTCACATTAGCTTTTTTTTTTTAGAGAGAGAGAATTTTAATATTTATTTTTTAGTTTTCGGCGGACTCAACATCTTTGTTTGTTTGTATGTGGTGCTGAGGATTGAACCCGGGCCGCACTCATGCCAGGCGAGCGCGCTACCGCTTGAGCCACATCCCTAGCCCCTCACATGAGCTTTTAATCATGTACTACCTCACCCTTACAGAGTCAACTGAAATTTCCCTTTACATCAGAGAAAGTTTTTTCTATCACTTTTCTTTAACTCCTAGATGAAATTAGGTTTATTCAGCTGTATGAATAGAAAAGCACCAGGCACAGTGGTGCACGTCTGTAATCCCAGCCACTTGAAGCAAGATTGCCCAAGTTCAAGGCCAGCATGGGCAACTTAGTGAAACCCTCAGCAACTTAACAAGACCCTGTCTCAAAATTTTTTAAAAAAAGGGGGGTGGCGGGGTCTGAGATGCTTGCGTAGCATACACAAAGTCCTGGACTCAATCCCCAGCATTTCAAAAGAAAAAAAAAATGTTAAAAAAGGCTGGGAGCAAAATTTAGTGGTAAAGCACACCTGGCTTTAATCTCTAGTACCCCCCAAAAAACAAAAAAGAGTAGGAAAGCTACATCTAGCTTTCATACAAGAAAAAAGTGTGAACTTGGGTCATCATCTCATTTTTTTACTCTTACATTCGTCTTTTCAAATTTCTTATGTATCTTTTTTTTTTTTTTTTAATTCTTAATATTCCAGGCCAAATTCCTTCCCAATAGTGGTGATTCCACCCTGGCGATGTGTGCCCGGGATGGGCAGGTTCGGGTAGCAGAACTGTCTGCCACACAGTGCTGCAAGAATACAAAGCGTGTGGCCCAGCACAAGGGAGCATCCCATAAGGTAAGAAGGTCCTTACTCCAAAGTTTGTGAGTGTAAGCTAGATATGGTAGCACATGCCTGTGATTCCAGCTACTTGGGAACCTGAGGCAAGAGGATCGCAAAGTTCAAGTCCAACCTAGTCAACTTAGCAAGACCCTTTTTCAAAATAAAAAGGGTTATCAATGCAACTTGGTGATAGGGCACCCTGGGTTAACTCCCCAGAACTGCACAGAATAGTGGAAAAAAAAAAAAAAAGTTTGTGAGTCCAAATCCTTTATGGATATCAGCCATTATCACCCTTTTCTCTACCCATTGTGTTCCTTTTGTTATGGTCATCTGCCTCACCTTTTTCAGTGCTAAGATTGGTTAAGAAGGGAGCAAAAAAAACCAACCCAAGCAAAGTATAAAGTATATCATTGGTCAGATCACATACTTATAGCATTCCGTTGATTATATCTCGCTCCTAAGCTGAGCTATGGTTGGTTTGGAGATCCTTGAGGTCTCATGCTTTCCAAACCCCTTAAGTTATTCTGATTGTTTTTAGAACATTTCTAACAGTCCCAGAGTGCTAGTAGTTGGTTCCTCAAATGTTAGAGCTCCAGCTTCTCTGCTTACAACTCAAACTCACAAGTTGCACTATTTCTGGAAGCCACATTTAGAGCTGTGAATATAGGCCAAATGGTCACGGTGGTAGCTAGTAAGGAACTAAGAGCTGTCCAGTCTCAGGGTAGGTATTATGTTTTTCCATGTCATCAAAAGAGGATGGTTTAAAAAAAAAAAAAAGATTGTACTCTCTTCTTTCAAACCCTAATATGTAGCATCCTTTTCCAATTCAGATGCTTCAGGAAACGTGAAAATCACCTATTTCTTAAACCTTTCCCCGACCCACTAGATAACTACTTTTTAGAAGTAGGATGTAGGGAATGAAGCTTGGAAAAAGAAGAGAACTTGATTGCCATGTTTCTCCATATCTGAAGGCATAGAATTGATTTTTTTTTTAAATATTTTTTTAGTTATAGATGGCAATACCTTTATTTATTTACTTTTACGTGGTGCTGAGGATTGAACCCAGTACCTCACATGTGCTAGGCAAGTGCTCTACCACTGAGCTACAACCCCAGCCCATGAAATTGATTTTTGAGAATGAACTTTTCTTGACTGATATTCTCCTTTGGTATCTCTATTTTGATCCTTTGGGACTTAGTTAAAATTGCAAATCATCTGTCTTTTTTGAGTTGTATAGAATAAGCAGACTGTGAATAGTTCACAGAATAAGAGTGAGTGGGGGGCTGGGGTTGAGGGCTCAGCAGTAGAACGCTTGCCTAGCACATTCAAGGCCCTGGGTTCGATCATCAGTACCACATAAAAAATAAAAGTATTGTGTCCAACTAAAAAATAAATATTAAAAAAAAAAAAGAGTGGGGCTTAAGTTATCTCCCTTCCTAGGATTTTACAACAACGGAAAAGGCAGACATTTCTCTTGCTGAGACATTTTATATGCAGCTCTTCCTAAAAGTAAAGGAGTGGGAACTAGCCTGACTATAATTCTGAGCTTTAGAAACCTTATCCCTTTTCCTTTGTCTCCTTCAGTTGGCCCTGGAACCAGACTCTCCCTGTACGTTCCTGTCTGCAGGTGAAGATGCAGTTGTCTTCACTATTGACCTGAGACAAGATCGGCCAGCTTCGTGAGTATAGCAATAATATCTATAAAATTCCATTCCTTGGCCTTGAAAATATTTCTTTTTTTTTTCTTTTTCAAAAAATATTTTTAGTTGTAGATGGACACAATGCTTTTATTTAATTTATTTATATGTGGTGCTTAGGATCGAACCCAGTGTCTCACACATGCTAGACAGGCGCTCTACCACTGAGCCATAGGCCCAGCCTGGACTTGACAATATTTCATGTGTCCCAATAATACTCAGCTCTCAGGTCCATCAGAATAGTACCTTTGTGTCTATGGTAAGAGATAGTTTAAGGTTTAGAATTCCTTACTTTTTAGCCCTGTTTCTCAGCAGTTTGCTTTCATTTCTCAGATGGTGTTTTTTATATGTGGGCTTTAATAACTTGAACTCATCCTTTCCAGCCACTTAGGTGCCATTCATCTTATTTATAAGAAGCATTACATATTAGTTTAGAGAGACAGGATCATATAAATTTTCAGTTCAGTTTATATTATATACAATCATAAGATAGACCTTGAAAAATATATTGGTAGCTATAGTAGAGTTCTGACATACCACAGCTCATTTGTACATGAATTTGAGACACATAATTTACGTATAAATTATTTTAATTCTGATACCATAGAAAAAAGCACAGCATCTTGTTTGGATATAGGTAGACCTGTCCTAGTTCAAATCTTAACTCAGGCCCTATTAGTTATGACCTATGTAATATTTTGAACTTCAGTTTCTTTGTTTTTACAAATATAATAATATCTACCCTGACTTAATAAACAGATACATTTTAAGAGATTCATAGACAAAATATTAATGCTTCTTGTGTATCCCCCATTTGTGCAAGCGTGCTACCGCTGAGCCACGTCATACACACACACACACACACACACACACACACATATACATATATATACCACAAGCCCCGACTTGTTAGTAATTTTGAAAACATTTCCAGACCCTTTTGTATATATTTGTGTACCTAGGTATATACATATATTTATATACTGTCCTCCATAAATGGGCTAATTATATGTATGCATACATGTATACTTTTGCAATTTGCTTTTTTAATATTATAATGTATTTTGGAGGTCTGTGTCAGGCTATAAAAACCTACCTAATTTTAAGTTTTATTTATTTTTGGGTGTGGTACTAGGAACTTCAGCACTGAGCTATATCCATAGTACTTTCATTTTTTATTTTGAGACAGGGTCTTGCTGAATCCATAAGGGTTTCACTAAATTGCTGTGGGTGGCCTTGAACTTGCAATCCTCCTGCTTCAGTCTCCTGAGCAAAAGCCTATTTAATTTCTTTTTTTAAGAGCTTTATAGTTACCCATAGTAGTTGGGTTCATCCTGACACACTCATACATCCATGGAAATTGATTTTAGTTCATGATTTCCCCCTTTTCCCTCCCCTCCTCCTTTACCTTTCCCACTCTTTTTCCTCTACCAGACTCCTTTCGCTCATTATTAATTTCTGTTTGATTGGTTCTTTGTTATCTTATTCTTCCTTCCCCCTTTTCTTTTTTTTACTCTAATATCCACATATAAGAGAAAATATTCAACATTTGAGATTCTGAGTTTGGCTTATTTCACTTAGCATGATATTTTCCATTTCCATCCATTTACTGACAAATGCCCTAACTTGTTTTTTCTTTTCTTTCTTCTTCTTTTTTTTTTTTTTTTTTTTGTAGTAGGGATTGAACGTAGGAGCACTGAATCACTGAGCCACATTCATTCCTAGCCCTTTTTTTTTTTTTTTTTTTAATTTTGAGATGGGACTTTGCCAAGTTGCTTAGGGCCTTGCTAAATTGCTGAGGCTGGCTTTGAACTTGGGATCCTCCTGCCTCTGCCTTCCAAGCCACTGGGAATACAGGTGTGTGCCACCATGCCCAGCAGTTTCGTTATTTTTTATGGCTGAGTAGAGCTCCATCATACACACACACACATACATACATATATACACCACAATTTCTTAATCCATTCATCTTTTGACAGGCATCTGGGTTGATTCTATAATTTAACAATTGTGAATTGTACTGCTATATACATTGAGGTGGCTGTATTGCTGTAGTGTGCTAATTTTAGATCTTTTGGAAAAATACCAAGGAGTGGGATAGCTGGGTCACATGGTGGTTCCATCCCTAGATTTTTGAGGAATCTCTATACTTCAGCCTACCTAATTTTTAAACATGGCATATGTGTCATAACATTGGTACACCACTGTTTACTTAATCACTGCCTTGTTGATTGATACCTAGATTATTTATTGTCTTTTTTAGATTTAAAAATTATAACAAATTTCATAGTTCAGTACCAATATTAGGAAAGGGATGTCAATGTTTTTATTTTTAAAGAGATATCTTGAAAAAGTTGTCTGGAAGATAGAATTTCAACAGCTGCTTAAATGACAGAAATGTTTCAGGCTTAGGAAAAGGATATGCTGGTTATTCATATACCCTTAAGAAGACGAAGTTTCGGAAATGGTGCTGGGTATATAGTGAAAGGGGAGCTGTGTGGTGACACAGGCCTATAATCCCAGTGACTCAGGAGGCTGAGGTACAAGGCCAACCTCATCAACTTAGTGAGACCCCCGTCTCAAAATAAACAAAAAGTGCTGGGGGTGTAGCTCAGTAGTAAAGTACCCTGGGTTTAATCTCCAGTATCCCATGCCGCCACCACCACCACCACCCCTCCCCCGCAAAAAAAAAAAAATACACAGAGTGGAAGGGAGTAAGCCTGAGTGTCAAGGGCTTTGCCCTCTAGTACAGATGATCCCCAACTTATGATGGTTTGACTTAATGATTTTTCAACGTTATGATGGTGTGAAAATGATATTGATTCAGTAGAAACTACACTTTAAAACTTGAGATTTTGATCTTTTCCTTTTTTTTTCCTTCAACAAATAATGTATTTGAATACATTTGAATATATAGATATACAGATCCAAATAGATATGCATGTATATACACATATATACACACACACACACACACATATCCATTTTTACGCATTTGGTAAAAAATTAAGCTACAGCACCCTTTTTAAAAAGAGAGAGAGAGAATTTTTTAAATATTTATTGTTATTTTTATGTGGTTTTGAGGATCGAACCCAGCATCCCGTGCATGCCAGGTGAGCGCGTTACCGTTTGAGCCACATCCCCAGCCCCTACAGCACCCTTTTTATACCTAATCATATAACTTGTAAGCCAATCCCTATTCATACATCTAGAACTGTTTTTTTATTGGTTTCTTAATATTTGATAGTATGGCTAGTGGTTAGGTATGTAAATAATTTTCCATCTTACTCTATTACAAATAATGCTGCAGTAAATACCTGTGTAACGTACTCCTTTATGCACTTTATGAATAGCAGTAGGGACATTCCTATAAGTAGAAGTGATAGACGGATCAAAGAGTATATTATTTTGTTAAATGCATTTTCAATTTATGGTGGATTTTTTAGGCTATAACTCCACTGTAAATTCAGGAGCACCTGTAGTAGTTTTGTAGTTATCTAACTTTGAGAAGAACATTTAATCTCTTGAATATTTGTTGTTGCCAGTTCTAAGGTTGTCATTTTTTGATGACAATGAGACAGTAGCAGGTTTTCCACAGGAAAAGGTAAGGGTACAGATATAAAAAAAAAAAAAAATGATAATAAATTTATTTGATCTACTGTTTTTTTTTTTTTTGAAGAATAATGAGATTTTATCCTGTAGATCAGGTTCAGAGGGAAACTACTATTCAGCCACAGGAATGGTTGAAATAATGGCTAGTGTAAATGAATTTGGCAGATTATTGAATTTGAAATAAAATGATATAGGCAGAAAATCTGGCTGAGAGCACAAACAATGGTAGGCAGCATGGAAAGTAAAGAGGGAAAATTGGAAAAACTTTTTTCCCCCCTCCTTGGTCCTAGGGATTAAACCCAGGGTTATTTTACCACTGAGCTACATCTCCAGTCCTTTTTATTTTATTTTAATATTTATTCTTAAGTTTTAGGTGGACACAATATCTTCATTTTACATTTATGTGGTGCTGCCTCATGCGTGCTAGACGAGCACTCTACCACTGAGCCACAACCCCAGCTCCTTTTTTATTTTTTGAGACAGGAAATTACTGAATTGCTGAGGGTCTCACTAAGTTTCTGAGGCTGGCTTCAAATTTGCAGTCCTCCTGCCTTAGCCTCCTGAGTCACTGGGATTACAGGCGCATGCTACGTCCTGGTACATTGGAGAAACTGGATTAGAAGGAGGCCCAGATTCTAGATTGGAGGTATAAGAGTATTTTAAACGTTTTTGCTTTAGGAGTTAAAGAAGTAGTTTTACAGGCTGGAATGAGGTGGAAGGCTGAATTGTGAAGGTCTCAGTCAAAAAATTCAAGCTGTTTTCATGTGTTCAGCTAGTACACTTGCTTATATCATGCATTTTTTTTGTGTGTGAAGTTGGCATGGGGGATTTTTTGTATATAATTTTTTTTTTTAATTTAATATTTTATTTTTAGTTATCGGCGGACACAACATCTTTGTTTGTATGTGGTGCTGAGGATCGAACCCGCGCCGCACGCATGCCATGCGAGCGCGCTACCACTTGAGCCACATCCCCAGCCCCTGAGCCACATCCCCAGCCCCTAATTTTTTTGTACACTTTCTTTTAATGGAAAACTACAGAGATTTTAAAATCACAATCTCTCTACTTTGCCTAGAGCTGAACTGACTTTGACTATGTAGAGAGGATGCTAAAATTGTTTCTTTACAAAGAAACTCATTGTCATGGTTATATTTTTTCCTGTTTCCATAGCATCAAAAATGAATTAAACCCCTTAAAATAAAAAACAAAAGCTAAAGCTAAGCCCCTTTCTGTAGTTTCTTGATGTCTTACTTGTAAATTTATTAATCTCCATGGTGTCAGATTTGACTGGACACTTAGATATGGGAAGAGTATTCATATTGCCACCTTTAGGCTGGGATAAATTGTAGTTTGTTAAGCCAGATTCTCCTCACTAAGCTTCTGAACTTTCTGTGGTTTCCCTGAGGCTCTTTGCCCTCCTATCACTCACCTGTCTTGTGTTACAACCAGGATAATTTGAAAGTGTTTTCTCAGCCTTACAAAGAGCTATCTTCATAAGAATGTTCTCTTCTGCTTTCTTTTGGCATACCTCTAGGTTAGAAAACTATAGCTTTTTTTAAGTATGTGTTTTTTGTTGTTGTTGTTTTTGTTTTTTAATGCTGAGGATTGAACCCAGGGCTTCACACATGAGTATTCCTACCACTGAGTTCTACATTCCCAGCTTTTTGATTTTTATTTTGAGACAATGTCTTGCTAAGCCCTGACTGGCCTTGGACTTACCATCCTCCTGCCTCAGCCTCCCAAGTATTTGGGATTACAGGCATGTGCCGTTGTACCCAGCTGTGTGTGTGTGTGTGTGTGTGTGTGTGTGTGTGTATGTTTTTAGATGTTGATGGACCTTTATTTTATTCAAACCCAGTGCCTCACACATGCTAGTCAAGCTCTCTACCACTGAGCCACAACCCCAGCCCCTTAGTATATATTTTTAAAAGCTAGGGGTTTTTTTGGAGTGGGGAGGGGCAGGTACCAGGAATTGAATTCAGGGGCACTTGATCATTGAGCCACATCCCCAGCCCTATCCTGTATTTTATTTAGAGACAGGGTCTCACTTCTGCTGAGGCTGGCTTTGAACTCAAGGTCCTCCTGCCTCAGCCTCCCGAGCCGCTGAGATTACATGTGTGCACCACTGTGCTTGGCTTTAAAGCTAGGTTTTAAGTGGCATTTTTCCAGAATCTGGGAGACACACTCTGACCTAAAGTTATTTTTTAACCCAGTGGTTCTGTAAATTTTTCTCCACTCCTCTCCAGGTGATTGGGAAGATATACAGTATTTACAAATAGAGGAGGGAACTGTATGGGTAACATCTCTTTAATGACTGGTTGTTATTGTGTTGGATTTCCTGAAGAGCATATACCTTTAACTTACATTTCTTAAGCAACACAAGAAAAAATTTTACTGAATATTTTTCCCATCTTCAAAGTAGCATGTAGTGAATATTTGTGCTTTTTCATTTTTCATTGTCTAAGACAAACAAAAATAATTTTTCTTTCCAGATGAGAATATTTTCGTTTTCTTATTAGCCATGCCTCTATTGCCGTCTTGGCTCTCATTTGTCATGACCATCTAGATCTTATGGAGACTAAAGTGTTGTGTATTTTTCTACTCTTCCAGGAAACTGGTGGTGACAAAAGAGAAAGAGAAGAAAGTGGGGCTATATACAATCTATGTGAATCCTGCCAATACCCACCAGTTTGCAGTAGGTGGACGAGATCAATTTGTAAGGTGAGTCTATTGCTTTTCTGTGTTTTTGAGAGTTTGAGACTCTGGCACATTGTCTTTTTTTTTTAAATTTTTATTGTTGGTTGTTCAAAACATTACATAGTTCTTGACATATCATATTTCACACTTTTATTCAAGTGGGTTATGAACTCCCATTTTTACCCCGTATACAGATTGCAGAATCACATCGGTTACACATCCACTGATTTACATATTGCCATACTAGT